AGATCTCCCCTGAGGCGTCGATACGCAATTGGGAACAGACCAGTAGCCTGTAGACGACCTTATAGCTGGTCCCGCGTAGTCCAACAACTAGTCTAGTGACAGCACGTTGTACACGCTCCAACTTAGCCAGTTCACCGGCTGTGCAGGGGTATGTCGCCGCACCACCGTACTCAAGTCTTGGTCTGACATGGGAAGCGTACAGCAGCCTGAAAGCGCTCATCGTGAGCTGGTTGAAAGACCACCCCAGAATGCTCCATGCGCTAGCACAGACCCGATCGGTGTTTTCTCGGGTCTTTAGTGATGACATAACCATAACACCCAGGTCTCGTTCGTACGATGTTCTGCCCAATGTGGTTCCCTGGAAGTTGTAGACTACCTCTGAGTCAGCTCAACGCTCGTCCTGCGCAGATAAGCCTACTGGACCGAACCCCTTATAATGAAATACACCTTTCTCCGATCCCTGTCTTAGTTTATTGCAACTGTTGAGAATAACCTAATAAATGACTTCAACGCGTCGGAAAAAGGCAATCGAATGAGACTACTTTTATTCCACAACACCTAGGGACCGATTTTAGTGACAAAAACCACAAGTGCGGGCACACAGTTGTTTGGCAAAATCTGAGTCCGGTTTGCATCCCCCGATCCTGCGAAGACCAGCACAATCTGTTCCCGTCAGGTGATCGGTGCAACCATCTGTGAAAGACAGAAGGAATGAGATAGGATGGGGGGTTTGTGAATGCGATTCAGCAAGGTGCACACCAAGGTTGATCGTACGACGAGACAGCTGGGTAGGCGCATCACACAGATACGAGGTTACGCTACTGGGAACATAAAAGATTTACACTTTTCGGATTACCAAACTACGCTGGGTAATCTTGAGAGTCAAGCAGAAAAGCAAATCGCATCACATCGGGGTGATGTGACTCGAAGTTTTACTAATTTATTTGTGTAATTTAATGATGAAACGCGAAAAGGATAATGGAGGGTTTGATATACTTGCTCGTCGTACTGAGCAGTGGCCTTGTCTTCTCTTTTAGGCGTTGGGGTCGGTTTTGCCTTAACAGTCTACTGCATACGTTGAACACAGGCTATCTCAAAGGAAAGAATTCACTTTACTTCTTGCTGTTTGACTTAGATCGATTTCATTTTTAATTCACCTCAGATCAGCTGGATGGTGCACCCCATTTTTTAAAATTCGTCTCATGCGAATTGTCTACAAAATATTCTGTAATGAGTTCACTAAAAGCTTTGGACACATGCAATCATCTGCAAATCAAATCAGACCAATCGGTCGTGTATCGATCAAATGTGTGCTAATTTTATTACAGGTGGCTTGTTGCTCACATAAATAGATTATGCATGTGCTTTGTTTATAAAACCTTTTTTCCTAACATAATATTTGATCGCGGACGTACATTCAACTGCCCTCGTTCACATGGTCGTCCAAGTGAGATTAACAATATATTGCATAAACAAATGAAAAATATACCTCAGAATTCAATGAGATTGATAATAAGAATATTAATAATAAGAATAATAGTAAAATTGCATCTTCACAAACAACAGTACTGACAAAACTTTGCTACAAATATGCATCTGTTGCGTTGGTATGAGAAAGACCCCATTCATCTAATAATTAGCCAAATGTATTCTCCATCCTGCTTTGGACGGGTCCATGTGTACATTGACCGTCTGTCACTTCATGCACACACACATCCTGTCTTACACTCACATACACACGTACACGTTCTCTCTACAGATTTATCATGTTAAAATATTCGGAATGAAGAAGTAAGAAGAAGATTAGCAGAAGATAGACAAGAAGGTTACGAAAGCCTCTCAGGTAGGGTAGACGAGTCATACGGCAGTGCAGTCAGGCACTATTCTTACAATACTGTTATCTTCCTCTGATGAAAATTTACTGTTGTCAATATAAATCAGGCAGAAAAACTCCATAAAAGGGTCCCCAAACTGGAAAATTAAAGGCAACTTCAGACCGATTCACTACGAATGATGAGAAAAAGACAGGGTGATTGAAGTGGAACTAAATTCTCGAATGCACGCTTACACAATGAAGCTGAGTATGCAGTAGGTTGACATGAAATTGCAGGATTTTCCGGTTGATTTGTTTTCCCATTCTATATTTGCTGATTTTTATTTTCATATATTTATATCCTGCTAGTTAATGAATCAGATGTGGGGATACTTTTGAATAAATAGTTTTTCATGCACAACGTTCTACATCCAGAACGGCAAAACAGTATATCCGACTGAGGTACCGTTTAAGTGAGTTGTACACAGACAGTAGACTCAAACTTTGCATATTGATCTTTCTGCCGCTGATCCACGTTTTTAAGTTCTCTTGCATGTGTATCTGATGACTCTGTTCCCCAATTACACTAGTCTAATTCGTTACTCATTTTTTCTGTTGTCTGGGCGATTGCATTACTTTTGCTGCAAGAATCTTCCTTAGGATTGATTATCGCATGTGTAGTCTATGGTACTTCAAATAATGAGCACCAAAATGATGATTCTGTGATATTGGCATTAGTTGTTCATGGTGCCTCGGTTCAAAGTTAATGTGAACGTAAAATTCACCTATCCTGTGGCCTGTATTTGATTCCGGCAACATTTTATTTGGATTATTATTGCAATACAAACATCGATGGGTGTCGTTTTTAGGATCAGTCTGATGTGCTCGGATCGGAGCCAGAGGATAAAATTGTCATAAGGAATCACCTTGCATCCGAGCACCGTCCGATTCGCACGGTTCTTTTCTGGTCACTGTGTGAGGAATGCATTTGGTCTCGGGGTTGTGGATAGCGGTCAGGGGACGTGTGAAGAATAGGAAATAACGTAGCCGATGTCCGTGTGTGCACGGGCCAGTTCCGATCAGCATTTTCGGGCATCCGTCACAAGGGAAGACACGTTCGGATCTGGTCAGAGGATAAATAAACCAAACAAGGGGTAATTCGTAGAACAGTGTTCGTCACAATCGTTTGATCCATGTGCATTGATCGTTGATTCAGTAGTGACATGTTGTCAGTAACTTCTGTCCCATGAGAGGCTCTTTGCATCCTTGGTTCAATTTTGTGAACTTCCAAGAAGGAGTAACAACTTACCTATGAAATGCACTGCGACTAATTGTCGCAGTGGGTACGTTTTCATCAGAATGTCTGAACAGAAAGGCTTATTATGTCACAGTTTATGGATTTAAACATCACCACCATCCCGTAATCTTTTTTCGTAGTGGCTTGCCCTGTCATGCTTCTACTGGCCATAGCTTTCTTCCAAAGTAATATTGCATGAAAAGAAAGTGTGCTTACACTATTCTATCACATTAGAGATCTAAACCATGTCTAACTGGCCTGGTACAAATAGCAGTTAAAAGTAATCAATCGACGACGTTTTGGCATCCAGATTACAGTTTATTTCATATGTATTTATGTTTTTATTATTCATTCTGTCAAGGGACGAGACCCGCAACCTAAGCTACGAGAATCTGAGTGATGAACCACATAAGACCTCATCACTTAGACCTGGTATTCATCTGGATAACAAAGAGGTGGTCTACCACCAAAGTTGTTGGTTGGTGTAGTCTGAATCTCAGACCACAGGAACCAAAGCATACTAGTGACGCGATTACCACCAATTAACCACAACCACGCAGATAATTTCTGCAACACCATTGGTTACACATGTTTAAAGGATTTTGCAGATTGTTCTAAAATCTCCCGATTACGAAAATCCTATGATCCCCATCATGATTCGATCTCCCATAGTGAATGTTATCCAGGTTTTTAAGCAGAGTGCATGGTAGTCAAATAGCAACAAATCCATGCGAAAAGTTTTGATCATGACATTTTGAGTGTATCCTGTAGCTATCTGGTGGATAAGCACATGTGCAAAGATTGAAACTTTCGGTTTGGCCACTTCACTCAACTCTTTGAATGCATACTATGGAATCGGTGATATCCTCCTATTATTCTAACGATCGGAATACATGGACACAATTCAGTTTGATGTTTCCAAAGTTATTCTGGACTATTTCATTTCTGTCAGGAATAGTCTAAATGAATGAGCGCTCTATGGTGTAGTGAATGCTATTGCGAGTAGACGCAGATATCCAGATATGGGGGAGCGCAGAGTTTCGATTGTTCGAGTGCGATACANCGATACAACACGGAGTCTATGCAAACATCCTAACTGCAATAAAATAGATTTGCATTACTTACAAAGCTATTCAATAGAGTGAAACCGTGTCAGATAGGCTAATAATGTTACACCTACGATGTTTTCTCTTCTGCTAGATTTGAAGATTCAGCCCCTCATATGGTTTCCTATGTTCTACTTATATGGTCTACCTTTCTGGACTGTGAACTGAAAGAACTATACATACAGAAAAAACTATGTATCACTTTTATACCTTGGTGCTTAAAGATTTGATTGACATTCAAGATGATTATCTGGTGATGATTGTTCGTCTCTGGAAGGCTTCGTTAAAAGATTCCAATTAGGTTATCAAACTGTTAATNAAGTGGATCATGAATGGCATGGGACTGGTTTGTCTCATAGTGGGACTGATATATTATAAGTAACAAAAGTGAGCTCATAGGAGTGGAAACTCACCGTCGCACATGACAACAGCCATGTTCATTAACCATGTACTCAGTGATCACTTTCAGCTGATAAACAGGCTCCGAGTCAGTAGGATGTGGAGCTCGACGTCGACAGGGAAGTACCGTTTTTCGATCCGATTCACTGGCCAAACATCCATTGCACGGCAGCAGTTCGTTCTGAACAGAGATCGCACAGCGAGGTTTGTAGATCTTGATACTGTTTGGCAACTGCGGTTGCGGCCCGTGGACTAGTTGGGCTCGAACATGGCTGATACGACGCTTCCCAGAAGCCTCGTTACACTCGTGAATCACAGTGAATTGGCCAATCGGACAGACTGATTGTTTCAAATGTGAGGGTATTGTGTTTTACGATACGATATGGAGTATGGGATAGAAAGAGGTAAATGTTTTTCCCGTTGATTATTCGCGGGAGGATACTTTAAATTTTCCAAAGCCATTTCTAGCTTACAATAATCCTTTCCCTGGAGAATTGCAGAATTATGAAACGTCCAACGATATCACAAGCTTTCAACACATAATGAACTAGTTTTTGGTTTAGCGTATTATTTATAGTCATTTTAGGTCTAGCGAAAAAGTCTTTATTTTTGATGTTTTACAATTCATCCAACGTTAGTTCTGGGCAGTAATGTGGGGATAAATGTTACTCATCTGAGTTGATTATCTTTCAGAGTCAATCTTCCCGCACAATCTATAGGTCTTATCTTGGAACCATTCAGTGTGTTTTGTTCACGATTATATAGTTTTATGCTTCTCATCCACTCTCCTAGATTACTTGTTTGCACGTACTTATTCGCATCAGCCAGTCCCTTTGACGTTATGATCCTGTTACTTATCACTCGCTTTCTCTTTCCTGCTTGCTAGCCACCTGCATTTCTGTACAGAACCCGGTCTACCAATTCTGAACCATGCCCTATTTTTACAAACAAGCTCTATCAATTGGACGGATTATCGGACCGCAAATTGTCTTTGTTCTGATTTACCTTTCACGTTTCCGGTAGACTGAATGAATTCTTTGTATCCGGACAAACGGCACCAGCAAACATTTTTCTATGCTCATGTCTCAGTCCTCACTGTTCCAATCTAATAACACGTATAATTAAAACTGAAATATCACATAATTTGCTAAGATTTGTTTCTTTAGGTAGCCAGTCTCTATCAGTATGGATGAAGAACAAGAGTAATAGCTGGTGTACCTTGAAGACATTATTTGGACAGTTACAGGATGCGGGATAACTCAGGCTGTCAGAAATCCGCTTAGCCTGTCGAAAAAATATGATTTCAGGACTAAAACTAACCCCTATTCAACCTTATATATTATCATTCAAACCCTCCACTGTATGCGATTTTCATGATTGATTACTATGGAAATAGATGCGATAACCGTGAATCTCCATCATTCGGTGGAAACATTGTTCATTGCAAGTTATCTATATGATGATGAGTAAGTAAGTAAGTAAGTAAGTAAGTAAGTGATAAGTTTGAATCTCATAAGTACTAGGACTAATCGAAGCTTGCTACTCTAAAACTAAGACCAGTTGTTCAAACTGATATAACCAACCTGAAAATCTGAAGTGTCGATTCATTTGAATACCCTCCTCACTCCTAGACCTCAAGGAGTCACGGCGACCGATTGACAAACTGTGAATGTCTTGGCTTGGTTTGACTTGACTTTAACTTAGGCTTCTCAACTGTCATCACCCAAGTAGTGTCACAGTGCGCTGTCCCGGATATGGTTCAAAAAGCAATCAATATAATCCGTATTGTTTTAAACTATAGTTCAGCAGAAGCTAACCGTTTCAGATGTCCAGATTCTCAGCATTCCAATATACAAAACCGAATGGTTAGATTTTCGGACTGAAAAATCGTTTAATTTGGTGCCCAGCTTACATTCACAGGCCACCTTCTTCTTTTCGATACTGGTGGTACAGATGTGATGCACTGGATGTGGTCGATACGTGATACGCGTTTCCACAGCTTGACCGGCTCGATTGCATCGACTTTGCAATACGTGACTTCCGCTACATTTGCACAACCCGCATGATTTCGGACACAACTGTTCGTAGAACGGAATCGTGGAGGAATGAGCAGAAAAGGGGTTACAATGAGACGGTTTTGTAGGGATGGGGGGAACAATTTCGTATTAATGGTACGTATCCAACACCTAAGGTGTGTGAGATGTCATTTATAGCTCAAATGTTTCATTCGTGGGTTTGTACACAGATCAAGTTTTCAAATATTCAGCTGATTCGGATGAGAACGACGCCAAAAAGACAGTGAGATTCGCATTGGTATCCTATATTTTCTTGCTTTGCACTTCATGTCTTCTTTGCTTTCTTAATACTGAAATTCTTTGGGGAACTGCAAGTTTTCAGATTACGAATGTTGCTGACCGAGTTAAACGAATTCAGTTTGGTGCCATTTTGAGAGAGAGAGAGAATCACGCAAACAGACTTGTCAAGATGATTGCTGCTTTATGGTTTATAAAAAATTGAGTCTGATCTACCGCTCGGTAATCTAGAGCTTAATGCATCTATTTAGGCCGTTTTCATCGTCTTCACGTTGGATTCTGTCATAACCGTCTCCGAGCACATCTAAGGATCAGATAGCGTGCTCACAAGTTGTGATATAGCATACGACTAAAAGTGTGCAAAAATTTATCAACTGCACCGAAAGCAGGCATTTTACAGCAAAGGGAGTAGACAACGAAATTCATATGCAGGATGCTTGGTGTCAGCTGCCTGGATTGAACCTGGATTCCCACAAGTCACGTGCAGTGAATTAGCCTTTTACCCGATTGTTTGTCTCGGAACAAAGAAGTTATCCGAATGAACACGAACCCGGTGACCATGTGTGCATTTTATTCGAGAGGTCCCAGGTTCAACCCCCGGGTTGGATAAATGAATTCTAACTGATGATCATATGGAACAAGATTGAAACCGCCATTTTGTATTATCATTTCTTTTTCACCATGGGCACTGTAATGGACCCTGTAACTAACCTCAATGAAAACAGCTTAAGGTACTTAATTCGTGTATAAAATGTAGGTTCTCCGAGCGAGGTCAGCAAATTATTTTTAACTGAAATACTTCGGGATTATTTCATACACTTCGTTTGTTTGTCTATGGAGCATCATCTTCAGTATGCATCCATGAAATTCATCAAAGGGTGGTAAACGGGATCAAACAGTTGGCGATTTAACACAAACAACATGGACTTACCTCGGTTGCCTTAAGTAAAGCGGCCTAATGTAGCACAATTATTATCCCCAGTGCTTTTCTCCCTACTACCTCGGGTACTGATAACACTCGAAATGTAGAGCACGTCAATGACTGTGTAATCTGATTTCCAACGCAAGCGTGCAGTATGGCAAGTTGCTCTTAATTGAACCCCTCTGTCAAAGATGATTGCCCCCTCATTGGGCAGCACCAACACTCGGTCCCTGTTTCCCAAAAGGTCGGAGTCAACTAGTGTCTTCCGATCAAGAATTCATACGAACATGTGTGCAGTCTGTGTTCAAGACTCCTGGTTGAATAAGGACGTAGATGACGCTCTAGTGTCAATAGACGGTTTGCAAGTTTGCCGACAGGATGGTGGAACCGGAGGAAAAAAGACTGGAGGGTGTGTTGTGACATATGTCAATGTTTCCCGGTGTGGCAAGTCCCGTGTTGTTTATCAGTACTGCTCAAAAGGTATTGAGTGCCTAACTACACAGTTTCACCCTAGATTTTCCCGTTTCACTTACACAATTTTGACTAACTTGTATATAGCCCCCTCCTGTACACAGTCTGATCATATGTCAATTTTCGACTCAATTTTCGATGTTAATGTGCACATAATCGTTGGTGACTTCGACCATAATAGCACGTATCCACTTTTATCATTGGGTATGGCAGATCTTTGTCACTCTCCCACAAGAGATAACTCTATACTGGACAGAGTAAATACCAACCACACAACCCTTTTTTCCTGAGCACTAGAGTCACCTATCTCCTCCAGAGACCACCGCATACTCTTAGTTCGAGCTAAAGTTTATTCACACAGTGCATACAAATCTTTCTCCCGATCTGATCATATCAGATTTCTTTTTCTTAGTTTCTCACCTACAAATGTTTCTCTCCGCAATCAATCTCTCAGGCAGGCCTCTTTATGGTTTTTATCATCTCATTCTCTATTCACGTATGTCTCCCTATTCACCCAAACAATCAATGCCATTCATAATTACTGCTGCCCTGTTCAAAGTCTCTATGTGTCCAACGGAAGGATAGACTCTCCCCTACTAAAGTAGCTGCGACGACAAAAAAAACGTGCACACAAGTTTCACAATGCTTCGGCTGTCAGGTATTTGTCTAGGCTTGTCAAAGCTGAAGTAAACAGATTGAACGCATTATTCTCTGATCGAATTCTGAGTACTGGAAATAGCAAACACCTGTGGCAGGGTATAAGACTTCTCTGTGGAAGGAAGAAAGCAAGGTCGAAGCTGGATATGGATGTTAATGATCTGAATGCCGCAGGAATGCGGCAGTCATCGGACATTCTTCCTGCCTACTGGTCACAAAATGTTTGTAAATTGAAGCCCTTGTCATATTGTGATGTGTTAAAACTTTGAGATAGTTGCAACTCGTCATCTACTGCAGGCCCGGATGACTTACATCCAGCCCTCTCCAAATTTGGTGCTGCTTCCCTAGCTAGTGCAATCACCTCCATTGTAAATGAATCCCTTCACACTTCTACTATCCCGACTGTTGGAGGCCGGTCACAATCATACCAATCCCCAAAGCATCCAAATCGTCTATCCTCTCCAAACATTTTCGTCCCATAGCATTAACATCTCTAGCTCTTAAATTAACTGAAAAGGCCATTCTCAAACGCCTTCAGCAGTCCATAAATATTCCCAGTGATCCGTTACAGTTTGCTTACAAGCCTAATAGATCCACCCTGGACGCAGTCTCCAAACTCATTCATTTCATCACTAAATCGTTGAACAGCTGTGGTAAGTCTGTTCGGTGTGTTTTTCTCGACTATTCATCTGCATTGGATCCCATTCCTCGATCTAAGTTGTTACAAAAACTGGAATCGTTTGAATGCCCCACGCATTTGTTAGTTTGGCTATCCGACTATTTTACCGATGGGGTAGAAACCGCTAGATTGAGCAAGGCCATATCGAAACCCTTAGTCAACAACTCCGGGGTCCTTCAAGGAGCTGTGCTATCCCCATACTTATTTGCCACTTATATTTGTGATATGCCCTGTGTTTCTCCCGCACGTATCTTGAAATATGCAGATGATGTCATGTTGTGCCAACTCATTTCTGCTTACTCTGATCTAAGTTATTTCACCGATAATCTTGATCAAATTCAGTCATTCTCCTCCTCATCAGGGCTAACCCTGAACCCCAGTAAATGTGTTGAGTGTTTATATAGTTTCGCTTGCTCTCCATATCCGACAGACCCCACAATGATTAATAACAATCATTTATCCAGGATGAACTCTGTCAAATATCTTGGTATAACTATAAATAGGATGTTGCTATAGTTTCCGAGCATCATTTTCATTGAGTGACTCGTAAAACAGTCCTTAATTTAACCCCATTCTGAACACTTTGGGTCGACGCGAACGGAAGATTCGACAGTATTTGTTCAAAACTATCCGAGATATTCCTTTAAATAATCAAGATTAGGACGTGAAACGGTTTGAATTCTTCCGAGCTATGTTTTTTTCCAGTTATGAGCAATAAAGTCTGTCGTGTTTGATCGTCAGATGGTTGTGGTGCAATAGTCCGCTCACTATTTGCACTGAGAGTATTCAATATGCGCTCCAGGCACATTATCGTGAATAAACTTTTCGACGTTGCGGCCAAATATTTAATCCGTACATATACGGAATATAGCGATGGAACAGAATACATACGCGTGTCACTATTTTACGAAATTACGCAAATGCGTTCGCAAGTGGTGTGCACCAATTACGTTTCGCGTACTCTGAGACTGGCCAAAGCTGCATGCCATCCGATGGTTGGCATGTTGGACAATAAAGATGTCTAAGAACAGCTTATTCGAGGAAGAAGAACAACCAATCAATTGTAGTGCATCCCCCCCCCCCCCCCCAGTGATTTCTGTTCAATTGCATTACGCGGATCAAAATTGCGGACTTGATCGCCAACTGACAATGAACTGAGGAAAAATGTAACAGACGGTCGGATGATGATAATCTGCACAACCTGTTTGAACAATTAGATTTTCTTTTTTTCATTCTTCTTCCCAGTATTGAATACACGATGATACCATTTTCAGGAAAGATGAATTGGCCAATCAAAGGGCTGTCATACAACACAATCGGGAGTCGGGCAGTGGGTGTTAGGATCCGAACACAAGTCCTCCGGAGTGATAATTTGAGGACGTTACCACCGAGCCACCACTGTCTGTGCTTGGTTATGAACAAGCACGGTGTTAATTACTATTCGCAATTAGATGTTTTCCCCTGTGTCCATTATACTACTCATGAGTAGCATATGGCGTTTATTTTCCCACCATTTAAACTTTCGTTTTTTGTGCATCCTACGGTGTCTATATTCATGAAATCTATATATTCTGGTAGCCTATTTACTGGGCCTTTAATGCTGTGATTTCTAACAGTTTATTCATAAGGTTGCGTTTCCCCATTGTCATAAAACTTTTCTGATCGCTTGTTGCGTGAGTAAAACACCTGCCGCCAACAGGGCACGAACCGCGGACCATCCCCTGGCCGAGATACACGTTACTAGCACAACACACTGTTTACTGCCTTTTACAATGCTGCCCTCTGATATGCATACCTTTGATTAGCACCGCCTCTTTGTATCGCATTCCGACTTGCTAGCATTTACTACATTTCACCCCAATCCATTGTAATTTCCTTCTCTGCCGTTTTATTCCGAAACCCAAGTGTATTGTACTCCCTTTCTATACCGTACCGCAACCCCTCTTCATTTTGAATTTCACTGCTGTGCTACTGTTGCGCTTGGCTGTCTGCCGGGTAGACCTTGTTCCTACCATTGCTGTCACGAACTGTTACTGC